CGACGATGCCGACGCCGACGACGACGACGACGATGACAACGACGACGACGATGACGACGCCACGCCGACGACGACGACGACGACGACGATGACAACGACGACGACGACGATGACGACGCCGACGACGACGACAACGACGAAACCGACGACGACGACGACGTCAACGACGTCGACGACGACGACGACGACGACGACGGCGGCGACCACGACGACGCCGACGTCGACGACGACGAAGACGACGACGCCGACGCCGACGACGACGACGAAGACGACGACGACGTCGCCAACGAAGACGACGACGACGACGAGGGAGGAGGGAGGACGACGACGGCGACAACGACGTCAACGACGACAACGACGAGGGAGGAGGGAGGACGGCGACGACGCGAACGACGAAGAAGGAGGAAGGACGGCGACGCCGACGACGACGACGAGGGTGGAGGGAGGACGACGACGACGACGACAACGACGACGACGACGACGGCGACGAAGTAGGAGGGACGACGACGAGACGCCGACGACGGACGACGACGACGACGAGGGAGGAGGAGGAAGGACGACCAGGGCGACAACGACGACGGAAACGACCACGACGCCAAAGAGGACGACGACAACGAACACGAGGAAAGACAGAGGACGACGTAGGCGACGACGACGACGACGCGGGAGGAGGGAGGACGGCGACGACGACGACGACGACGCAAGAGCGCGCGCGCACGCTTTTGTTGAACATCCGTGTTGCGAAACCTTATGTTTTTGTAGGTTTTTTTGACACACGATTTTGAATCCTTCGGAAACCGATGGGTTTTGAAGGATTTCGGCATACGCGCGCGACGACGCGCGTGTCTGCACTTGGTCGCATTTTTTGCAGAGGATTCTCGCGACGGCACACGCGCAAGGGCGTTCGACCGATTTCGACATGCGCGCGCGTGAGGCCCGTTTGATAGCATGTTGTGAGAATCTTGAAAAACCCATGGAGTTCTTAAGATTTCGCAAGAGCTCGCGCGTAAGCTTTTTTAGCACATCAGTGTTGCGAAACCCTCGATTGCGAAATCCTTCTGGCACCGAAGGTTTTTGAAGGATTTCGGCATGCGCGCGCGACGGCGCGCGCGTGTGCACTTCGTTCCGTTTTTGCCAGGGATTCGTGACAAAGTCTTATGTTGGAACAAGAAATGTCCCCGCGTATTGTTTTTTTACAAGGGAACCTCAGGGGGACCGATACCGGTTCCCCGAGGATAGTGTCAATTCATATTTAGGATGGACATGTGATCAGAATCATACATGGTTTACATACCCGAAAAGGGGGACCGATAACGCCGGGGGGGGGTAGAGCTTATTGTTTTAAAAAGGAGAATCTATGTGGTGCAAGTGAGTTTTACCCGTGAGGTGACACATCCCATGCCCCTGCAAACATCCCACCCACCCGCCCGCAAATTGGTTTGCAAAACCCATGCGGTAGCGATAGCGATGCATGCTCGGTGTTGGCTGGTGCATCTCTGCGGCCGCGCCAACCCGAGCGCGCGCGCGCAGCGGCCAGCTAGTTTGGCGCGACCGACGCGGCCGCGGTGGCGCCGACCGCTGGGCACATCCCACCTGGCACTTCATTGCGAGTCGGCGTCTTGGGCGGGCGCAGTATTATGGCAACGTCGGCAAAGGCAAACACAATGATGACAGTAGATATGCAGGTGACGATGTTGGCGACGACGACGGCGCGGCCAGTGCGGGCGCCGATGCTGATCACGCCGACGACGGTGACGGCGTCCTCGCGTGGGTGATGAAGGTTTTGGACAGAGTTCGACATGCGCGCGAGGCCGTGGATCGAGAATGGCCTGCATGGTTTTATTTAACACGGACCGTGGCCCCCCAGCACGCGCGCAAGGGCGTGCGAATGATGGCGCTACAGTGCCCGTTTGGCAGAATTCAATGCAGTTGTTGAAAAGCATATGGTCTTCTTCAGAGTTCGCAAGGGCGCGAGGGCACGGTTTTGTTTGAAAACTCATGTTGGGAAAGCATGTGATTTCGTTTCTTTAGACCCTTAGTTTTGAAATCGCTACGAAACGGCCAGTTTTTGAAATATTTCGGCATGCGCGCGCGACGACGCGCGCGCATGCACGTCGTCCCGTTATTTGCAAAAGGGGTTCTCGCGACGGCACGCGCGCAAGGGCCTTCGAATGCTTTCGACATGCCGCGCGAAGCTCGTTTGGTAGCATTTCCTGAACATGCCGTGGTTTTCTAACGAATTCGCCAGAGCGCGCGCTTTTTTGAATTAGAGTTCTCTTATATTTATATGATACATAAGAAGAATTAAATCACAAATCCGTATTGCTTTTCGGACACTCGATTTTGAATTTTTCCGAAACCAACGGTTTTAGAATGATTTTGGCATGCGCGCGCGACGACGCGCGCGTGTGCACTTCGTCTTGTTTTTTGTACAAAGGGCTCCTTAACGCTTATGATTTTTGATGAACGAGTGCGCGCGCATAGTATTTGTGTGGAATATGGCGGGGGCGGTCGATACCGGTTGGGCTGGGATGTTTTGCGATCGTGTTTAGGATGGGCGATGGGGCAGGACCAAATGTAAATTGCAATGCGAAAAGGGGGGTCGATAAACCCGGGTGGGGGGTGGGGGTTCGAGTGCTTTCTTTTTTTAAGAAAGGAGAATAATTTCTGTTCGCAGTGAGTTGTCAACTCCACCGCTCGCGCAATCGTCCCACCCACCTGCCCGCAACTCAGTTTGCATAAACCCATGCGGCGGCGAGTGCGATGAGTTCTTGGTGTTGGCTGCTGCATCTCTGCGGCCGCGCTAGCCCGCGCATGCTCGCGCGCGCAGCGGCCAGCTAGTTTGGCGCGACTCACGCGGTCGCGGTGGCGCCGACCGCTGGGCACATCCCGGCGGGCACTTCAGTGTGAGTCGGCGGCTTGGGTGGGCGCAGTAGCATGGCAAGGTCGACAACGGTATACACGAGGATGGTCGTAGCGATGCTGGTGACGATGATGACAAAGACGACGGCACGGTCAGTGACGGCGCCGACGCTGATCACGCCGACGACGATGACGGCGTCCTCGCGTCGGTGATGAAGGTTTTGGAAAGAGTTCGACATGCGCGCGCGCGGCCGACGCGCGAGAGTGCGGCGGCAGGGGCCCGCCTGGCATAATTTATTGAACATGCTGCAACATTTATGGCTTTCATAAGAATGCACACATGCTCGAGCGTTTTTTTGCTAGTTGTGAAGAGTGGCGTTCCACAGCGGATTGGTTTTTGGTTTAAAACGCGTGTTTGGGACACTCGATTTGGACGCTGCGCGGTGCAATCTATTTAGTGCAGTCTGTGTACAGTGCCGCTTGTAGTACATGCTCCGCGTGCGGATCATGTATTACAAATGCAGGGTTTAACATTAAAACAAGGAGGAGCTCATGCATACATTTGTTCCTTAATTAACCATGTATTAAACGCCATTTTCTAATTTATTTTAAAAAGGAAAACATCATATGTATTAAAAACTGCATTGTGTGTATTGCAATCTGGGTGGCGAAGTGCTGACGACGGCGGCCACGGAGCAGCCGCCAGTCCAGCAACCAGGCTCCGAACGTCCAGCATCGGGGACTGTGCGCCGCCCGAGTCGCATGCTGGGTGGGCGGCATCCTGGGACTGTGGTAGACGGTCAATGGAGAGGAAGCGCGTTGCCAAATAGTTGCCAGATGTAAAAACATGTTTCAAGCATGTCTTAAACATGTGAAACAACATGCTTTGAACATGTGTAGAAGATTTCCCGACAGTTCAAACACGCGTTGTAATTCATTGGTCGGATTGTTCGGCTGTCCGCTGTCATGGCTTACGCAATCCTGTGACAAACGCACCCCTTGGCGGGATTTGCCGGATCGACCGTGCCAGTGTCGTGTACGCGTTCCCTGCCCCCGACGATGTTTTCGTTTTCCAGGCTTTGTTTAACCCTGAGTGGTTACTGTTGGCCCCTTAGTTTCAGTACCCCAACCCGACTGGTAGGACGGGGTTGTCTGTGCGTGAGCAGCTGCAGTGTGTCGACGGCTCTCAGAGAGGAGGATGATGATGCACCTCTTGCCCAGCCGTCTTCAGCATAGCTCCCGACGAAGGCCAACTTGATTAGCTGTGCCCTTTGCGCCTGGCTGCCGCGCAGGCTCGCAAAGAGGCCAAGAGGCACAGCTTGCGCATGCCTCCCTCTGGCTGTGCATAGTTGGGTGTCTTTTGTTGCTGTTCGAACGCTGGCTCTCGGCGCCACTATGGCTGCGCCGATCGCCAAGCCTCGGCGTAACCTGACGCCCGAAGCGTCAGGGTCGAGCGCCGCGCGCTTATTACTGTCGTGATATGGGGCGGGGTAGGCGCGTAAAGATGGTGGTGGTGCTGCTGGCGAAAGATAAAGACAAAGTTGCTCCGCGGTCTTCGACCGCCACAGGACTCGTCTCTCAAAGTGAAAGACTGTACCCGCTGTTTTTTTGTCTCGCTTGGCGGGCCCTCGGGTTTCGGGCCTCCGTTCTTTGCTCAGTCGTTGTCCCTCCGCCGTGGTGTCTTTCCTGTGGTCCTCGCTCGTTCGCCTCTTTTCGGCCCTCGTTCGGCCCCGCTGCTGCTGGGGCGCCTTTTAATCCGCGCTCACAGCAAAAGCCAGACTCAGACGACGGGCGGCGACGAGGCGGCAACGGGGCGGCGACGGCGACCATGGGGTCGCCAGACCGGCAGCCAGGCTTAGACGATGGGTTGTGACGACGCGGCGACGGGGCGGTGACGGCGACCACGGAGCCGCCAGACTGGCAGCCAGGCCCAGACGACGGGCGGCGACGAGGCGGCGACGGGGCGGTGACGACCACCACGGAACCGCCAAAACGGCAGCCAGGCCCAGGTCCCTGAGAGCCAGAAGTAGGACCCCCTGAGGGCAAGCACTCCTTGGGGAAAACTGCAACGCCTGGGTCTCGGGGTCACGCTCGATGTGACCTCCTCGCCTCGGCCGCCTTCGCGCACGCGCGCGCAGAATTGCCGCGGCACCCTGCACGAGCTGCACCTTTCGCACAACGACCTGGACACTGCCGCCGCCGCGCAGATCGTTTTGGCGGCGGCCGCGGCCCGGGACGAGCAGGGGCGGCTGTGCTACCCCCGCTCGGAGGCCCGCCGCCGCCGCCGCCGCCCCTCGCTGCCGCCACCGTCGCGTGGAGGGAGAGCTGGCGGGAACAGGGAGGAGGAGGAGGAGGAGGAGGAAGAAGAAGAAGAAGAGGAGGAGGAGGAGGAGGAGGAGGGGGGGGGGGGGGGGGGAGGGGGAGGGGGAGGAGGAGGAGGGGGAGGAGGAGGAGGAGGAGGAGGAGGAGGAGGAGGAGGAGGAGGAGGAGGAGAAGGAGCTTTAAGTAGGTTCAAAAAGCAGACGGCATGCCCTGGGATGCTCTCCAGCAGCTGTGCCTCGCCGAGAGCAGTCAGGGTCGACCGCAAAACAAACGACACCACCCCACCTACGGCCCTCCACGTTGCGCTACGGCCCAGCGGTGGCCGTAGCGTATGCCACGCAAGCATTCAAGCCGCAGCTCATGGTATATGCTAAGGCCCGTTGGACCGTAGGTGGGGTGGTGTCGTGTGTTTTCTGGTCCACTGGGGGTGCCTGGACCGTCCCGAACACCCGCCGGGGAGCAACAGGGCAATGGGGCAACGACAAAGGGCAGCTTTGCGAACCGCTCTCGGAAGCCCTTCGCCGCCGCCGCCGCTCGAAGGCCATGAGTTCCTGGCGCCGTATTTCCCCGGGCCCCTGGACCCTCACAGATCGATCTGGCTCGAAAAATGCCGCTGGAAGATGGGGTCTAGGTCAGTGGCCGTGTGATTTCCGATGCTGCATTTTTTTCACAATGTCGGCCCCCCGGGATTATACACTATACACCGATTGTTTGGGGGCCCGTTTCGGGCTTTGGGGGCTGTCCAAAATCGTTCCCGGCGGAAAAGCCCGGCCAGAATCCATAGGATGGACCCTGCGATAGGTATGGGGATCGATTTTGTATATATTTCAGTTGCCAGAGCCGTCGGGATCGTCGTCGTCGTCATCGTCGTCGTCGTCGTCGTCGTCGTCGTCGTGGTCGTCGTCGTCGTCGTCGTCTTCGTCGTCGTCGTCCTCGTCGTGGTCGTCGTCGTCGTCGTCGTCGTCGTCGTCGTCGTCGTCGTGGTCGTCGTCCTCGTCGTTGTCCTCGGCGTCGTCGTCGTCGTCGTCGTGGTCGTGGTCGTCGTCGTCCCCAGTTTCGCAGAAGAGAGCACTGAAAGGTAGCCTTTCGGAGGTCCGGGCGGATTCCTTGGTTCGGCGCTGGAACCCCCCGGCGGCGCCTCTGGCGCGCCCCTTGGCGCGCTCCAGGCGCCATGAAGGGGGTCCCAGCGCTGATCCGAGAAGTCCGCGCGGACCTCCGAAAGTGTACGGTCGGACCGAGGTACAATGTCGAGGTCGGCTCTGGGAGGGTCACCCTGACGGTTCTTCGTGCTTGTTGGATGTTCGTGTGCATCTTGGGGGAGGGTACCCTCGAATGTTCTGAAGTCCGGCCGGCGGAGGGTCTCATGTTCTTGAAGGACGTTCTTCTGTCCTATGTCCCTCCTCGAAATCAAACTCAAGTTTTCCCGCGACGTGGCGGCGCCCCAGGACCAAGGTTCGCGCCCAAAGTGGCGACTGCCGCGTTTCGCGCGTCGATCAGCATCAAAAACTTGCGTTGGATTTCGAGGAGGGTCGTAGGCTCAGGCTGGCAACAGAGCGAGCAAGGCTGGGGACTGCCTGCAGTGATGGGAGAACACGTCGGGATGGGTCTGGCGGAGCCTCTGTGCACCTCCAGGGGGGCCGCGAAGCAAAAAGCACGGCAGCCGCTCTGGTATTCTGCTTCCGGTTCTCTCTGGGCCTCGGGAAGTCCGCCCCGAGAGCTCGGGGGACATCAGGAGACGGCCCACGGCGAAAAACCCGATCCCAGGTGTCCCAGGGGTATCCCGGTCCCGGTCTTTATTGCGAAGGCCTTACGGCCGGTGCCGCCGACCCTGAAGGGAGACGACGACGACGACGACCACGACCACGACGACGACGACGAGGACGACGACGACGACGACGACGACGACGACGACGACGACGACGACGACGACGACGACGACGACGACGACGACGACAACGCAGGCGGCGGCGGCGGCGGCAAGGTGTCCCAGGGGTATCCCAGTCCCGGTCCAGCCGTATGTTCATTCAGCTGTTGCCCTTCTTCTAGGCAGGCACACGATAATCCGGGGCCTGGGGCCCAAGGCTGGCCTGCCTAGGATCGGTGTTTGCGTGCAGTTGGCCCCCGCTCGGAGGCCCTCGTCATCGTCGCGATTGCTGTCGTCGCCGTCGTCGCCGCCGATGGAGGAAGAGAGGGAGGAGGAGGAGGAGGAGGAGGAGGACGAGGAAGATGAGGAGGACGAGGAGGAGGAGGAGGAGGAGGAGGAGGAGGAGGAGGAGGAGGAGGAGGAGGAGGAGGAGGAGGAGGAGGAGGAGGAGG